GTTTAGTTTTATAAGTGAATACCTCAGTGGGCTTAGCCTGCAAGGATGGTGATGGTTTATTTTTATAAGTGAATACCTCAGTGGGATTTGCCTGCAAGGATGGAGATGGTTTAGTTTTATAAGTGAATACCTCAGTGGGCTTTGCCTGCAAGGATGGGGATGGTTTAGTTTTATAAGTGAATACATCAGTGGGCTTAGCCTGCAAGGATGGGGATGGTTTAGTGTTATAAGTGAATACCTCAGTGGGCTTAGCCTGCAAGGATGGAGATGGTTTCGTTTTATAAGTGATACCTCAGTGGGATTTGCCTGCAAGGATGGAGATGGTTTTAGTTTTATAAGTGAATACCTCAGTGGCTTAGCTGCAAGGATGGAGATGGTTTAGTTTTATAAGTGAATACCTCAGTGGGCTTAGCCTGCAAGGATGGGGATGGTTTAGTTTTTTAAGTGAATACCTCAGTGGGCACAGCCTGCAAGGATGGAGATGGTTTAGTTTTATAAGTGAATACCTCAGTGGGATTTGCCTGCAAGGATGGAGATGGTTTAGTTTTATAAGTGAATACCTCAGTGGGCTTAGCCTGCAAGGATGGAGATGGTTTAGTTTTCTAAGTGAATATCTCAGTGGGCTTAGCCTGCAAGGATGGGGATGGTTTAGTTTTATAAGTGAATACCTCAGTGGGATTTGCCAGCAAGGATGGAGATGCTTTAGTTTTATAAGTGAATACCGCAGTGGGCTTTGCCTGCAAGGATGGGGATGGTTTAGTTTTATAAGTGAATACCTCATTGGGCTTAGCCTGCAAGGATGGAGATGGTTTAATTTTATAAGTGAATACCTCAGCGGGCTTTGCCTGCAAGGATGGACATGGTTTAGTTTTATAAGTGAATACCTCAGTGGGATTAGCCTGCAAGATGGAGAAGGTTTAGTTTTATAAGTGAATACCTCATTGGGCTTTGCCTGCAAGGATGGGGATGGTTTAGTTTTATAAGTGAATACCTCAGTGGGATTAGCCTGCAAGGATGGAGATGGTTTAGTTTTATAAGTGAATATCTCAGTGGGCTTAGCCTGCAAGGATGGGGATGGTTTAGTTTTATAAGTGAATACCTCAGTGGGCTTAGCCTGCAAGGATGGAGATGGTTTAGTTTTATAAGTGAATACCTCAGTGGGCTTAGCCTGCAAGGATGGGGATGGTTTAGTTTTATAAGTGAATACCTCATTGGGCTTTGCCTGCAAGGATGGGGATGGTTTAGTTTTATAAGTGAATACCTCAGTGGGATTAGCCTGCAAGGATGGAGATGGTTTAGTTTTATAAGTGAATATCTCAGTGGGCTTAGCCTGCAAGGATGGGGATGGTTTAGTTTTATAAGTGAATACCTCAGTGGGCTTAGCCTGCAAGGATGGGGATGGTTTAGTTTTATAAGTGAATACCTCAGTGGGCTTTGCCTGCAAGGATGGGGATGGTTTAGTTTTATAAGTGAATACCTCAGTGGGCTTAGCCTGCAAGGATGGAGATGGTTTAGTTTTATAAGTGAATACCTCAGTGGGCTTAGCCTGCAAGGATGGGGATGGTTTAGTTTTATAAGTGAATACCTCAGTGGGATTTGCCTGCAAGGATGGAGATGGTTTAGTTTTATAAGTGAATACCTCAGTGGGCTTTGCCTGCAAGGATGGGGATGGTTTAGTTTTATAAGTGAATACATCAGTGGGCTTAGCCTGCAAGGATGAGGATGGTTTAGTTTTATAAGTGAATACCTCAGTGGGCTTAGCCTGCAAGGATGGAGATGGTTTAGTTTTATAAGTGAATACCTCAGTGGGCTTAGCCTGCAAGGATGGAGATGGTTTAGTTTTATAAGTGAATACCTCAGTGGGCTTAGCCTGCAAGGATGGGCATGGTTTAGTTTTTTAAGTGAATACCTCAGTGGGCACAGCCTGCAAGGATGGAGATGGTTTAGTTTTATAAGTGAAATACCTCAGTGGGATTTGCCTGCAAGGATGGAGATGGGTTTAGTTTTATAAGTGAATACCTCAGTGGGCTTAGCCTGCAAGCATGGAGATGGTTTCGTTTTCTAAGTGAATATCTCAGTGGGCTTAGCCTGCAAGGATGGGGATGGTTTAGTTTTATAAGTGAATACCTCAGTGGGATTTGCCAGCAAGGATGGAGATGCTTTAGTTTTATAAGTGAAATACCGCAGTGGGCTTTGCCTGCAAGGATGGGGATGGTTTAGTTTTATAAGTGAATACCTCATTGGGCTTAGCCTGCAAGGATGGAGATGGTTTAATTTTATAAGTGAATACCTCAGGCGGGCTTTGCCTGCAAGGATGGACATGGTTTAGTTTTATAAGTGAATACCTCAGTGGGATTAGCCTGCAAGATGGAGAAGGTTTAGTTTTATAAGTGAATACCTCAGTGGGCTTAGCCTGCAAGGATGGGGATGGTTTAGTTTTATAAGTGAATACCTCAGTGGGATTAGCCTGCAAGGATGGAGATGGTTTAGTTTTATAAGTGAATATCTCAGTGGGCTTAGCCTGCAAGGATGGGGATGGTGTTAGTTTTATAAGTGAATACCTCAGTGGCTTAGCCTGCAAGGATGGAGATGGTTTAGTTTTATAAGTGAATACCTCAGTGGGCTTAGCCTGCAAGGATGGGGATGGTTTAGTTTTATAAGTGAATACCTCATTGGGCTTTGCCTGCAAGGATGGGGATGGTTTAGTTTTATAAGTGAATACCTCAGTGGGATTAGCCTGCAAGGATGGAGATGGTTTTAGTTTTATAAGTGAATATCTCAGTGGCTTAGCCTGCAGGATGGGGATGGTTTAGTTTTATAAGTGAATACTTCAGTGGGCTTAGCCTGCAAGGATGGGGGATGGTTTAGTTTTATAAGTGAATACCTCAGTGGGCTTTGCCTGCAAGGATGGGGATGGTTTAGTTTTATAAGTGAATACCTCAGTGGGCTTAGCCTGCAAGGATGGAGATGGTTAGTTTTATAAGTGAATACCTCAGTGGCTTAGCCTGCAAGGATGGGGATGGTTTAGTTTTATAAGTGAATACCTCAGTGGGATTTGCCTGCAAGGATGGGATGGTTTTAGTTTTATAAGTGAATACCTCAGTGGGCTTTGCCTGCAAGGATGGGGATGGTTTAGTTTTATAGTGAATACATCAGTGGGCTTAGCCTGCAAGGATGCAGGATGGTTTAGTTTTATAAGTGAATACCTCAGTGGGCTTAGCCTGCAAGGATGGGCATGGTTAGTTTTATAAGTGATACCTCAGTGGGATTTGCCTGCAAGGATGGGGATGGTTTAGTTTTATAAGTGAATACCTCAGTGGGCTTAGCCTGCAAGGATGGGGATGGTTTAGTTTTATAAGTGAATACCTCAGTGGGCTTAGCCTGCAAGGATGGGCATGGTTTAGTTTTATAAGTGATACCTCAGTGGGATTTGCCTGCAAGGATGGGGATGGTTTAGTTTTATAAGTGAATACCTCAGTGGGCTTAGCCTGCAAGGATGGGGATGGTTTAGTTTTATAAGTGAATTACTCAGTGGGCTTAGCCTGCAAGGATGGAGATGGTTTAGTTTTATAAGTGAATTACTCAATGGGCTTAGCCTGCAAGGATGGGGATGGTTTAGTTTTATAAGTGAATTACTCAGTGGGCTTAGCCTGCATGGATGGAGATGGTTTAGTTTTATAAGTGAATACCCCAGTGGGCTTAGCCTGCAAGGATGGGGATGGTTTAGTTTTATAAGTGAATACCTCAATGGGCTTAGCCTGCAAGGATGGGGCATGGTTTAGTTTTATAAGTGAATACCTCAGTGGGATTTGCCTGCAAGGATGGGGATGGTTTAGTTTTATGAGTGAATACCTCAGTGGGCTTAGCCTGCAAGGATGGAGATGGTTTAGTTTTATAAGTGAATACCTCAGTGGGCTTAGCCTGCAAGGATGGGGATGGTTTAGTTTTATAAGTGAATATCTCAGTGGGCTTAGCCTGCAAGGATGGGGATGGTTTAGTTTTATAAGTAAATATCTCAGTGGGCTTAGCCTGCAAGGATGGAGATGGTTTAGTTTTATAAGTGAATACCTCAGTGGGCTTAGCCTGCAAGGATGGAGATGGTTTAGTTTTATAAGTGAATACCTCAGTGGGCTTAGCCTGCAAGGATGGGGATGGTTTAGTTTTATAAGTGAATTCCTCAGTGGGCTTAGCCTGCAAGGATGGGGATGGTTTAGTTTTATAAGTGAATACCTCAGTGGGCTTAGCCTGCAAGGATGGGGATGGTTTAGTTTTATAAGTGAATTCCTCAGTGGGCTTAGCCTGCAAGGATGGAGATGGTTTAGTTTTATAAGTGAATACCTCAGTGGACTTAGCCGGCAAGGATGGAGATGGTTTAGTTTTATAAGTGTTTGGGCTGTTGACCTTTCTTGTACTTTGCGCTACTATCATGTTTGTTGTTGTAACAATCTTACCCCGTGCCCCTACTGGACATCTGTGAAAAAGAGCTTCATAGGTCATCGGATTCCTCCAACAGCATAAATAAATATTCTGACTCTGATGTCTCGCAAGGCAGCGCGACCCTTCGTGTTGGATAATTAAGCGGACAATACGCCTCCTTCGCATACCTGTCCAGCCACGTAGAAAATTTAAAAAAATGTTGACACTTCCCGTCAAGCTCAAGGCCTATTTCAGTGGTGGTGCAGTGACACTGCAGAAGCTGCATCGATGCCCATTTCACAGCCGTTAATATTTACAATAATTTACAGACTTTGCCAATCCACTGCTGGATGAAGACCTCACCAATGCCGTGTCGGTGATGGAGCTGGGCAGTGCGGGTTGGTGAATGGGTGGGGGACCAGACCCATTTGAGATTTCACTGGCTTACTGATGTTAGCCGTGTCCGGGAAAGGAACTCGGTTTGCCGGGGTCATAATCCAGGGTGCTAACTACGGCACCACCACTCTGCGGTAGCGACGACAAGGCTGGTGTGGCGGATGCAAGTGCCCCCCGCCGCGTCTTACCTAAGCGTTTCTAAGATGAGGGCCCGGTAGGGCCTCGGCTTGGATTCCTCCCCATCGCTGCCTTCCGCTGGTTTCCGTGGTGACGGAGGGGGGCTGCCGGTGAGCTCCGAGCCCCCGCCGTCGGAGCCCCGCACCCCTTCGTGGTGCAGCCCGTATAGGGGGATGTACACGAGAAACCTAAGAAACACAGGCGCTCACTACGAAACCCAAGAAACAGCATGGTGGATCAACGCTGTGCACGCGCCGGGCTAACCCCACGCTTTTACACACGGGGCGAGGACGTGAGAGGCGGCCGCAGCACCTTGGGGAGGCCTTCATTCAGCAGTGGATCGACCATGGCCGACGATGATGACATAAACCAATGCGGGTATCCCTCGGTTTATGAACGTTCGGTTTGCGAAAAATTGCGTTTACGTAAATGACAAATTTGATTCACGAAATAGAATTTCCGAAATTTCACTACGGCCACACGCCGTGAGATCATCGAACGAGAGCCATCCGGGAGGCTGCGTCGTCATCCATCGGCGACAGCGTCACACAGTATCTCTGCAGTGGCAGCAGTAATGCCTCCACATCACCCTGCCAGTCATTCCAACGTGCAGCAGGTCTTTTGGTGAGTTCGCTGACAAAGTTTCGTCATTTTTACTAAAAAATGTAATATTATTCACTCGTTTTAATATTCATGTTGTTTATTATTATTGTTGCGTTGTGAAACGTGATATAGGTGTATAGTTTTAGGTGATGAGTAGAGTCGGAATGACTGTCCGAAACACATCCCAATTTTTACGTATTAAATGGGAAAATACGTTCTGATTGACGGAATTTCGTTTTTATTCTTTTCGCGTGTTTTTTTTAAGAACCGCATCCCTTTCGGAAATCAAGGGATACCTGCATGAAGATTAAATCTTCTGCTTAAGCCTCAAACCGACTTTGACAAAAGGCACTGCAGGTAAACGCTTAACAGACCAAGGGCCACACCACGTTTACCCACAACAGCCGCAAGTCGCCACACAGTAGCAGTGATGTCACCACGGTGTTTGTGCCAGACTAGGCGCTTGCTGCTGGCTGGTTACGGGGACAGACCCAGGTGTTATGGTTTGACTGACCGAGATGACACCCACAGCAGAGACAAAGATTCCCACCACCCCCCCCGTACAGCGCTATTCGCGAGCACCGACGAAGGCCAGTACGGCGCACGATGGGGTGGGTGGCCAGCACTAAGCCCTGCGTCGCTCCTTTTGTCTCCACAGTGCTGATGTTTACACACTGCACCACGAAATCATTTGACGCTGAGTCGACCAAGGGGAGGCCCAGGACCGGTTCAGATAATCGTCACAAACATTCACCACTGTTATTGGTCGGGTAGCCGGGTCGGTAGTGCAGAATTGCGAAGCAGTGCACCACCGCTCCGTACGCTCCACATGTTCGTGCGAAGCACTGCACCGCCGCTCACTCACGGATAGCAGAGGAAGAGCAGGTTGATGAACGAGTGGCTGCGGAAGAGGTTGATGAGCGCCCAGCACAGCGTCCACCCGGAGCCGGTGAGCAGCACGAGGCGAGCGAGCACCAGCGTGGCGTAGCGCCAGGCCGCGGGCGAGGGCCGTGCCTGCCACTGGCTCACCTGCAGGTGGCACAGCGGGTCGGCAGTCAGCCTCACTCTGTCGATGTGTTGTTCTTTCCTTAAACCACTCACGGAGTATCCCTAGCTTTCCCCAACTCCCCCTTCCCCCCCTCTCCCTTCCCCATCATTAACACACCATCACTCTTCCCAACTTCTCTACCCGTTCACTCACTCATCATCGCTTATTTCACACTTCACCGGATTCATGCACTGCCATGCTTCTCATCAAGTCATCTCATCATCACACTATTCTGCTGTACAAACAGTTAATTATTGGTGCAGCGCCTTAAGCAAGACGCTATATAAATTAAAGATAAAATAAGACCTCAACACTGGGACGCTCGTCCCCTAGTTGACGAAGAGAATGAATGCCCGTTTTGAGTTCTACCCACGGTGGGGGTGGCGACACTGCGCACACCGCTGGGAGGGAGGGGATGGGAGGGAGGGAGATTGGGAGGGGGAGGAGGAGGGGATGGGAGGGAGATTGGGAGGGAGGGGGAGGAGGAGGGGATGGGAGGGAGATTGGGAGGGAGGGGGAGGGAGGTTATCTTAATTATCTGGTAACTGCAAGCGAAAAAAAACTAAATCAAGAACGCTCTGCATGCGTGACGTCAATTGTTTGCGCTTGCTGGTTACTCTTGGAAACTACATTGTTTACGATAAATGAGCAGATAAAGGTCTTCCATATCGTTCTAGGTTACCATATGGATTTAAATTTTATCGTAGTTATTTTATATTGGCAGTTTCACACGTGATTATTCACCGATGACTCTCATGTATGATATAACTTCACACATTCATAAATCACCTCACGTACCCCCTCAGAACCACTGTAATACACAATGCTAGTGCAACGCTTCCACTATCACCCTTCCCCCTCCACCCGCGAACACCGCTTGGCTTTTTCACCGTCGAAACCCGAGGATCGGAACGCCCTCTCCAGTCCACGCACACAGCAGAGGACGAGGAGGAGTTCACTTTGACCTTTCCAGCATCTACCGCCGCCCTGCTGGGCCCATGGGGGGTGGTGGTGGGGGGCGTCTAGAATAGAGTTCTTATTTCCTCGCGCGAGCGTGATCGGTATTTGAACGCAAACGCACGATTAAATAAATTCTGTTGGCCAAGCCACATCGATCAGCGCCGTGAAGGAGTTGTACAAGCCCCATCACAGACAAGGCGCGGTGAGTCCTTCATCCAGAAGTGGATTTACTATTTTATTTTAGCAGGTAAAGCCCAGCAAGCTATTACCACTTTTTCAAAGGAGACCTTGCCACACACGATAACTCGTCGAAGTGGCTGTATCATCGCATGTGGGAATTTATAGCAGCGGCTAAATAGTCCGAACGCGCGTTTCTAAATGTGGGGGTAAAAAACTGGAGTAAAATGTACGCGACCACATGGAGAGAACACGCGGACTCAAACACACAACGGGCATCGTCAGGGTTGGGTCCGAACCCACGAACTTCTGTATATCCGGCGAGGGAGATAACATCTCCTCACAACCGTGGGCAGATTGACAAAGAGCCGTAACTTTTAATATTTACATACAGATACGTTTACGTAACGAGCTGTAACAGATACGTCGTTACGTAACGGCGCGAACGTTCTCACGCGCCAGTTCGGTGGGGGGAGGGGGGGGGGGGTCACCGCTCGTTACTAAACCTGAACCCGGATCACACCACCGACTTGGCGACCCGTGGAACCAGCGACTCCCATTGCGTAAGGCCGCAATCAGACGCCGACAAGCGGAAGGGCGAGTGTCGCTCAGAACCATTCGACGGCGGGTGACAGGCGACAGCCCTTGCCTCGGTGACGAGCGTCCACACGAGACGGCGGGAGAGCAGCACCCCGATGAACGCCACCAGGTGGTAGTCGATCTTGTGGAAGTTCTGCAGAGGAGGGAGGGGGGGGAGCGGAGCACACGCTCGTTACCAGCGGCCACGGAACACGAGCGACCCCGGCTCGCCACGCCCAAACAAGTGCGAGACAAACGCTCGTCACCCTTGGCGGCCCTGATGTCTGCAGTTGGAAATTCCACATTATTATGGAGGGAACCGTTACAGCCGTAGGAAAGTCCAAAAGTGGTGCTCATATTATCAACCGCCAAGGAAGGGTGGGGTGAGCTCAACTCCCGGCCTGGATTAGAACTTGGAGCCGTCGCTTGCGAATTGAGTACCAAATGCGACCTGGTTGGATTAGGGTTCGGTTAGCTAGCGGTGTACCACCTTGTGTCAGAGAACGGCACAAGAGCTACTTCATAGGGCCCTCCCTTAGGCCGGGTTTTTTTTACACAGCTGCTGAGCAAAAGGCCCAGAGGCCCAAAACGTCAAGCAACCAGCAACAAACAGCACTGTTAAAGTTGCAACAGATAAGAGTGTTACACGTTTCTTGTATTGAGCAAGGAAATTATTACAAAAGCTTGGGAAAATATATGATGGGAGGGAATTCTCAAGTGGAGCAGTGCGAGGGAAGAAGCAGAGAGAGACATGCGGTGACCTGTAGTGTAGTGAGTGGCTGAGTGGGCGAATGGGCTAGTGGAGGAGAGGACGAGTGGGCGAGAGGGCGATTGGGCGAGAGGGCAAGTGGAGGAGAGGGTGAGTGGGGGAGAGGGCGAGTGGAGCAGAGGGCGAGTGAGGGAGAGGGCGAGTGGGCTAGTGGAGGAGAGGGCGATTGGGGGAGAGGGCGAGTAGGCAAGTGGGGGAGAGGGCGAGTAAGGGAGAGGGCGATTGGGCGAGTGGGGGAGTGGACAAGTGGGGGAGAGGGCGAGTGGGGGAGAGGACGAGTGGGGGAGAGGGCGAGTGGGGGAGAGGGCGAGTGGGGGAGAGGGCGAGTGGGGGAGAGGGCGAGTGGGGGAGAGGGCGAGTAGGGGAGAGGGCGAGTAGGCGAGTGGGGGAGAGGGCGAGTGGGGGAGAGGGCGAGTGGGGGAGAGGGCGAGTGGGTGAGTGGGGGAGAGGGCGAGTGGACGAGTGGGGGAGAGGGCGAGTGGGGGAGAGGGCGAGTAGGCGAGTGGGGGAGAGGGTGAGTGGGGGAGAGGGCGAGTGGGGGAGAGGGCGAGTGGGGGAGAGGGCGAGTAGGCGAGTAGGGGAGAGGGCGAGTGGACGAGTGGGGGAGAGGGCGAGTGGGGGAGAGGGCGAGTGGGCGAGTGGGGGAGAGGGCGAGTGGGCGAGTGGGGGAGAGGGCGAGTAGGCGAGTGGGGGAGAGGGCGAGTGGGGGAGAGAGCGAGTAGGCGAGTGGGGGAGAGGGCGAGTGGACGAGTGGGGGAGAGGGCGAGTGGGGGAGAGGGCGAGTGGGCGAGTGGGGGAGAGGACGAGTGGGGGAGAGGGCGAGTGGGGGAGAGGGCGAGTGGGGGAGAGGGCGAGTGGGGGAAAGGGCGAGTGGGGAAGAGGGCAAGTGGGGGAGAGGGCGAGTAGGCGAGTGGGGGAGAGGGCGAGTGGACGAGAGGGCGAGTGGGGGAGAGGACGAGTGGGAGAGAGGGTGAGTGGGGGAGAGGGCAAGTGGGCGATTGGGGGAGAGGGCGAGTGGGGGAGAGGGCGAGTGGGGGAGAGGGCGAGTGGGGGAGAGGGCGAGTGGGGGAGAGGGCGAGTGGACGAGTGGGGGAGAGGGCGAGTGGGGGAGAGGGCGAGTAGGGGAGAGGGCGAGTGGACGAGTGGGGGAGAGGATGAGTGGGGGATAGGGCGATTGGGCGAGTGGGGGAGTGGACGAGTAAGGGAGAGGGCGAGTGGGGGAGAGGGCGAGTGGACAAGTGGGGGAGAGGGCGAGTGGGGGAGAGGGCGAGTAGGGGAGAGGGCGAGTGGACGAGTGGGGGATAGGGCGAGTGGGGGAGAGGGCGAGTAGGGGAGAGGGCGAGTGGGGGAGAGGGCGAGTAGGCGAGTGGGGGAGAGGGCTAGTGGGGGAGAGGGCTAGTGGGGGAGAGGGCGAGTGGGTGAGTGGGGGAGAGGGCGAGTGGGGGAAAGGGCGAGTGGGTGAGTGGGGGAGAGGGCGAGTGGGGGAGAGGGCGAGTAGGCGAGTGGGGGAGAGGGCGAGTGGGGGAGAGGGCGAGTTGGGGAGAGGGCGAGTGGGTGAGTGGGGGAGAGGGCGAGTGGGAGAGAGGGCGAGTAGGCGAGTGGGGGAGAGGGCGAGTGGGGGAGAGGGCGAGTGGGGGAGAGGGCGAGTAGGCGAGAGGGGGAGAGGGCGAGTGGGGGAGAGGGCGAGTAGGGGAGAGGGCGAGTAGGCGAGTGGGGGAGAGGGCGAGTGGGGGAGAGAGCGAGTGGGGGAGAGGGCGAGTGGACGAGTGGGGGAGAGGGCGAGTAGGCGAGTGGGGGAGAGGGCGAGCAGGCGAGTGGGGGAGAGGGCGAGTGGGGAAGAGGGCGAGTGGACGAGTGGGGGAGAGGGCGAGTGGGGGAGAGGGCGAGTAGGGGAGAGGGCGAGTGGACGAGTGGGGGAGAGGACGAGTGGGGGATAGGGCGATTGGGCGAGTGGGGGAGTGGACGAGTGGGGGAGTGGACGAGTGGGGGAGAGGGCGAGTGGGGGAGAGGGCGAGTAAGGGAGAGGGCGAGTGGGGGAGAGGGCGAGTGGGGGAGAGGGCGAGTGGGGGAGAGGGCGAGTGGACGAGTGGGCGAGAGGGCGAGTGGGGGAGAGGGCGAGTAGGGGAGAGGGCGAGTGGACGAGTGGGGGACAGGGCGAGTGGGGGAGAGGGCGAGTGGGGGAGAGGGCGAGTGGGGGAGAGGGCGAGTGGGTGAGTGGGGGAGAGGGCGAGTGGGGGAGAGGGCGAGTGGGGGAGAGCGCGAGTGGGTGAGTGGGGGAGAGGGCGAGTGGGGGAGAGGGCGAGCAGGCGAGTGGGGGAGAGGGCGAGTAGGCGAGTGGGGGAGAGGGCGAGTGGACGACAGGGCGAGTGGGGGAGAGGGCGAGTAAGGGAGAGGGCGATTTGGCGAGTGGGGAAGTGGACGAGTGGGGGAGAGGGCGAGAGGGCGAGTGGGTGAGTGGGGGAGAGGACGAGTGGGGGAGAGGGTGAGTGGGGGAGAGGGCGAGTGGGGGAGAGGGCGAGTGGGGGAGAGGGCGAGTAGAGAGAGGGCGAGTGGACGAGTGGGGGAAAGGACGAGTGGGGGATAGGGCGATTGGGCGAGTGGGAGAGTGGACGAGTGGGGGAGTGGACGAGTGGGGGAGAGGGCGAGTGGGGGAGAGGGCGAGTAAGGGAGAGGGCGAGTGGGGGAGAGGGCGAGTGGGGTGAGGGGGAGAGGGCGAGTGGGGGAGTGGGCGAGTAGGGGAGAGGGCGAGTGGACGAGTGGGGATAGGGCGAGTGGGGGAGAGGGCGAGTAGGGGAGAGGGCGAGTGGGGGAGAGGGCGAGTAGGCGAGTGGGGGAGAGGACGAGTGGGGGAGAGGGCGAGTGGGGGAGAGGGCGAGTGGGTGAGTGGGGGAGAGGGCGAGTGGGGGAGAGGGCGAGTGGGGGAGAGGGCGAGTGGGGGAGAGGGCGAGTGGGTGAGTGGGGGAGAGGGCGAGTGGGGGAGAGGACGAGTGGGGGAGAGGGCGAGTGGGGGAGAGGACGAGTGGGGGAGAGGGCGAGTAGGCGAGTGGGGGAGAGGGCGAGTGGGGGAGAGAGCGAGTGGGGGAGAGGGCGAGTGGGAGTCGGGAGAGGGCGAGTGGATGAGTGGGGGAGAGGGCGAGTAGGCGAGTGGGGGAGAGGGCGAGCAGGCGAGTGGGAGAGAGGGCGAGTGGGGGAGAGGGCGAGTAGGCGAGTGGGGGAGAGGGCGAGCAGGCGAGTGGGGGAGAGGGCGAGTGGGGGAGAGGGCGAGTAGGCGAGTGGGGGAGAGGGTGAGTGGACGACAGGGCGAGTGGGGGAGAGGGCGAGTAAGGGAGAGGGCGATTTGGCGAGTGGGGAAGTGGACGAGTGGGGGAGAGGGCGAGAGGGCGAGTGGGTGAGTGGGGGAGAGGGCGAGTGGGGGAGAGGGCGAGTGGACGAGAGGACGAGTGGGGGAGAGGGCAAGTGGACGAGTGGGGGAGAGGGCGAGTGGGGGAGAGGGCGAGTAGGCGAATGGACGAGAGGGCGAGTGGGGGAGCGGGCGAGTGGGGGAGAGGGCGAGTGGCGGAGAGGGCGAGTGGGGGAGAGGGCGAGTGGGGGAGAGGACGAGTGGGGGAGAGGGTGAGTGGGGGAGAGGGCGAGTGGACGAGTGGGGAGAGGGCGAGTGGGTGAGTGGGTGAGTGGGTGAGTGGGGGAGGGGGTGAGTGGGCGAGTGAGTTGTTGTGACCAATGGTTGAACACAGGCTGGATGAGACGAAGCAGTCAGTGTCTGGTAGACCTAGTCGACAGCCCTGGTGGAGGAATGAAGGAGTCAAGGAGTTCACGAGAGAACAGCAACCACGGTGGTGGTAGTAGCAGTGACAGAGGAGCGACAAGAAGGTGAGCGGCTGCCGACGGGAGGGGGGGGTAGGCGGGGTGACCGGAGTCAGCCTGCGAGTGACGAATCATCAACCACCCCGACTGCTTCACTCTCAATTCTATCCAGCGTAGTGAGGTAGGAACTGGGTGCTCCGCCCCTGATGTGACAGCAGCAGGCTTCCAATGCGCACTTCGTGCAGGAGTAATAATATAATCGTTTGGAATTAGAAGAAGACTATGGCAAAGAACGCGAGCACGCACGCACACGCACGCACGCACACACCCCAGCCGCCCGCCCCTGGCGGGCTGCCCGGCTCACCAGCGAGGTGTGAGAAGGCGGCCCCTCGGGCGGGTACCACCACACCGTCTTGTACAGGTTCACGTAGTGCATGCACAGCGCCAGCAACAGGTACGCCAGCAGCAGCGCCTCGAAGACGAGCCCGCTGTCCAGTGCCACATCCGGCACGTGCGCGTGCTTGATTTGGTACGGCCCGCTCGCCGCGGCAAGTGGGGGGCTATTCAGCCCCGAGGCCGTACCATTCCTACCACGGGGGAGGGGGGAGAAGCAGATTCATTTTAGTCACCAGGGGATGTGATGATTCATCGATGGGTATCGAGTATTAAACTCGCGATACGCAGAATATTTTGATGTTTCACCTTGGAAATCACTTGAGATGGGAAATTTTGTTTGCAAGGGAGTCCAGGGTGTGTCGATTGATAAGCAACAACAAAACGTGGTCACACGTGTATGCATACATAAATGCATACATACACACACACTGCAGGAGCAAGTGCTGGTTGCAGGATTACGAGACGGTCTTTGGGTTGCATGGCGAGAATAGCACTGTGTCTTTACATTTCCCTTCTACCCCTGTGCGGGCGTTAGAATTCCACGGTCCGTGTTTCTCTCAAACTCCGTCTCCTCCGCCGCCACCGCGTTTTACTTGGCGTCAGCGATCAATGTTGATTCCGAATCAATTTGCGCGTGTTCTGTGTTTACTGCACTTTTTTTTTTAGCTTCACGGTTTTTTGGTGACCGTCCCTTTTAGCATCCCCTTTCAGCGAGCAGGGCTTGCGTTTGTTAACTTGGGTTTCCTGATGGCTGCTGTGGCCGGGAAATCACTTCCACGGCGAGTACTGTACGCCACCAGTACAGTGCACCATGCAGTGCCGTGGGTTTACTTACCGAAGAATAAATGCGTAGAAATCAATTTACATTCACGTTCAGACGTGTTTGCATTGCTAGTTGGCACGTATAGGGTGGTTGGCAATATGCTACGTCGTACAGTTTGAGCCTAAAGGATCATTGCCGCGGGACTCGGGATTTCTCATCATTGTTGAGTGTCTCACGGCCGTGCGATTAATTCTAAGTGTTGTTGTAAATCACACGCTCAGCCCCGTTTGTTGCAGTGTCTCACTGGCAGCTGCAGCCTCTATGAGAAACCAAAAACGACACGAAACTATTTTTTATTTTACCAGGTAAGGCCCGATGAGCTGCTTTGTAGTAGCGAATTTTCAGAAGCGACCACCTGGCTATCACAAACGATACTCTTTGGTTCTTTCGGTAAAGCTCAACGAAGTGGCTTGTCATCACGTGGACATTTATAGTAGCAGCCAATTTAAGCGCACTTTGATTATAAATGTGGAGAATCCACGTGACCAAGGGGAGAGAGAGAGACACACAAACTCCAAATATACAGAAGACATCAGGGTTGGGAAAAAAACCCCGACCTCCTGTATACCAGGCGAGGTAGTCAACATATCGGAACCTTCAAGCGGGGAAACTCGTCCCAATTGGCCTAGGTTACTATTATTATTTAATTCACCATGAGGGAAGGGGGTGTTCACTAAGTCGTGAACATTAGTCTCCTATTGCTGCTATCCAAACTCATTTAATAAAACCCAAACCATCCCCCTCTTTTCAAAAATAATAGACTTGCCCTTGCCTGCTGCTGCTGCTGCGTGACAGGTAAATATTTATATGCCTAGGTTTCTCTCGGATTCTTGGCGTTCTGCTTCAATTTTGGGTTCCACCCCAAGATGTTTCGATAGGAGGAGGAGGAGGGGGGGGTCTCACCCATTAGTTTGGGGTTGACACGCACGCTGCATAGGTTATCATTGGGTGCAGCAGCTTGCCGGACCAGCACTACCCCCTACGAGTTCTGGCGAGTTGGCCTTTTCCTGTAAATGTACCCAACGGTGTGCACCGCTGTGTCCACACGGAACGCCGCGGCAGCTGCGGATTGCCGTGCGAGGCGAGTTGTCATCGGGGACGTCAAAGGAGCCGTGACCGGCGGCCGAGTGCGGTGCGTCTGGCAAACGGCCCTCAACTCATGGCGGATGTGAAGAGAGAAATGCGCCGTTGTACGATCAACGAAAAAACTGAACGCGTTCGCCAGTAACCCTGCGGCCTTAAGTGGAAAAACATATCAAGGGCAACATTTCGGGCAATGTTTTTGATGAAGGCCCACGACACGAAACGTCCACTATTATAGATTTGTTTACTGTTTTTTAGGCCGCAGTGTTACTGACGAATGAGTTGAGTTTTTTTTGTTGCACAATTAGTCACGTGACAACGAAAGCAGGGGAGCGAGCGCCGGTCGATTGGGGGGGGGGGCGGTACCTGCCGGAGCCCCCCACTCCTCCCTGCGCAGGAAGGGGCACGCGGGGGTACTGCTGCCGGGCTGGGCCCCTGCGGCCCCCCGCCATCCCGGGGACCGCTCCACGTGTTACCCAGTCGCCCGCTGTGTCTGCAAGCCACGGGGGTGTCGCACGCAACGCACGCAGCACACAACACATATACACAGCACATACGCAACAACACAACACACACAAACACAACACACACGAAACACAACACACACGCAGCACACACGCAGCACACACGCAACACATGCACAACACAATACAGACGCAACGCACATACGTACAACACACAACACACGTAACACACACAAACACAGGCAACACACGCGCAACACACATGCCACACACACCCAGCGCACAAAACACACACAACACACATATAACACACGCAAAACAACACACAACACGCACAAAACACACACAACACACACGCAACATACAGAACACACACGAAACGCACAACACACACGCACAATACACACACGCAACACACACACACAACGCAGACAATACATTACACGCAACACATACATGCAACACACATGTAAATATCCATCATTTCCCCAAGGAGTGCATTGTGGTGACTAGGATGGGAAGTGAGCATTCAGACACGAATAGAGACACAGCAACATGCAGTGCACAGATGCGTGCACAGGACCTACAAAACTAAACTATTTTTAGTTTCACCAGGTAATGCCCATGCCCACTGGGCTACGTAGCTGTTTTTCACAAGCGACCTGGCCACAAATGATAGCTCAAAGAAGTGGCTTAACATCACGTGGAAGTGTATAGCAGCCAAATACTCGAAACGGAAGCCCCTGAGAAAAATCCACGCGACCACCGGGCGTCAGGGTCGGGAATGGAAGCCACGACGTCGAGTATACAAGGCGAGGTAGTAAACATCTCCTAGCCACCGTGGCGACCGAGGTGTCCACACACACCCTCGTGAGTCTTCTACAGCTACCGCCATGGTTACTGTTCCCATGAACTTCACTCAATGGTTCCACCACCACCAATGTTGAGGTCAAGCAGACTGTTTCAACTCATTCATCCTGTGTTCAACCACCACACTGCAGGATACAACAACACACACTCACCCACACACTCACTCACTCACCACACTACAGGACACAACACCCACTCACCCACACACTCACTCACTCACCACACTACAGGACACAACACCCACACACCCACTCACTATACTACAGGACACAACACCCACTCACCCACCTAATCACCCACCTACTCACCCACCCACTCACCCACCCACTCAACCACCCACTCAACCACCCACTCACCACACTGCAGGATACAACACCCACTCACCTATATACTCACCCATCTACTCACCCACCAACACACTCACCCACATACTCACCACACTATAGGACACAACACACCCACTCACCCACCTACTCACCCACCAACACACTCACCCACCCACTCACCACACTACAGGACACAACAACACCCACTCACCCATCTACTCACCCACCTACTCACTCACCCACATACTCACTTAACACACTGCTGGACACAACACCCACTCACCCACCTACTCACCCACTCACCACAATGCTGGGTACAACAACACTCACACACTCACCACACTGCACGTCACCACAACTTGTATTTTATTTTTCCCTCCCATTGCTCCACTTTGCAATTCCCTTTCCCCAAGCTCTTGCGAATAACCTCGTTCAATCCAATAAACGTGTTCAACTCTTACACATGGCAACTTTGACAGTGCTGTTCTATGATTGCAGGATGTTTACAACGCGTGTCTATGTACATTTACAGTACTGTCAATTTACACGTGTGGACATTTAAATGTGTGACTGTACACGTGCGTCCGTATACATGTACATAGACACGTGTACACGTGTATGTGTTTATGTATACATGTGTCCGTATACATGTACACATGTGTACGTACACGTGTCTATGTACACATGTGTACGTGTACGTGTCTATGTACACATGTGTCCGTACACGTGTATGTGCATACGTGTCGTATGCGGCGGGGTGCGGGTGTGTAGTAGCTAGCGCGCACTGCGCTACTAACCCTGCGACCCGAGCCGGATGCCCGCTCAGGGCTAACAACACGAGTGAACCGATCTTGGGCCTGCCCTAGGTCGCCTCAGCCTCAAAAAGAGCACGCGGTGCGGTGTGCGGAGTAAACATCGCCACTAGGGAGCCACAAGGCGACCGGGCGCGGTGCTTGACCACCACCCACCCCCACCTCGTCTGCCACACTGCCGGCAGCGTTCCTCGCTGCTGCTGCTGCTCGCTCACAGCACCTTGCCCCAACAGTGTGTCACAGGCGGCACGGCTGGGGGCTCTGTGTCTGTGTGTACCCGTCTCGCCGTGGCGGTGGTGGTGGTGGTTGGGCGCATAGGAGGATGAGGTCCCAGGCACCCGAGTTCGACACCGGATCCCTGCGCAGCGCTCGTCAGTGGCAACTCGCCGCGCACTGCGGCGGTGCCGGCTGCCCGCCGAGTCGCACGGAGTCGCACGGAGTAGCGATCAGTGGCGATGAGTCGCACGGAGTCGCCGTCGCCTTCCCCACAACGACTCTTGCTACTGTACGAGACGCGTGGCGAGCGGCGCCGTGACGTCACCGCGCAAGCGCGCGCGGCGTTTGCGCGGTGACGTCACGACGCACGGCTTCGCTGGGTTTGTGCGGTGACGTCACGACGTACGACGTTTCCCTCCAGGGCGGAGATTTTTAATCCTCCGTGCGCCTCCTCCTGCCAATGTTTGCCTCCCCTAAGTAAAAACAAAACATTTATTTTGTTTACACATCACACGGGCAAATAACCACACAACCTTGCAGGGCGTGGCGACAAACGTCCGGACATCTGTGGCTAAGCACGGTGCGAAAGAAGTTCCGCACACGTACAAAAAAGAGCTTAATAGCTCATCGGATTTGTCGAGTATGGGATAAATAAATATTTCTGATTCTGCACTGCGGGGGACGAGGGAGGAACTGATAAAGGGACGGGCAGTGGGCATCACGGGCGGCTGGGAAGGGAGCTCCAGACAGTGGGAGCAGCATCAGCAGCAGGGGAGGAGGAGAAGGCGCGAGCTGCGGCCGAGCAGGGGGCAGTGCTGCTGCTGATGTCTCTGTCGGTGACAGCAGAGGCAGCCTTGCGGGCTGCTGCTGCTGCTGTCTCTGTCGGTGACAGCAGCAGCAGCCTTGCGGGCTGCGTGCCAGCAGGTGGCGCTACAGCAGCGTGGGAGAGACACGTGGAGATGGATTATTGCCACCCTAAAGTATATTTATTTTATTCTCCGCAACGCCAAATAATTGAGTTGTGTTGTGGATGATATAATATCGCATCGAACCAGAACCCATATCCGACAGAGACGATCCTTGCAGTTATCCATCGTTGATTAAAGCGAGCCTGACTGCTGATGAGACACTGCGTGTTGAAACCGGTCCAAAGTTTGCTTGTTGCACAAATGCTGTATGTATGTTGAACTATTTTCTCACCGTACATAGCCAACTATGCTAATCGAAGGTGCGGGGGAAAGACAACAAACTAAACACAAAAGACAATTCTACAGAAATTAGTTTTGAATCTAGACGATGATTTAAAAGTGCATAGCTCCAGTGGCTTCCTAATATCTGAAGAGCGTTCCAGACGGCCGCAGGCGTGCATCTGAAAGCACGCGATTGTTCGACGGTTCGTTGAAAGCCCCTGCGATGATGACCAGAGTGATGATGGTTCATGCTCCTTGACGAGATCCGCAAGGTATTGTGGTTCATTTGTGGCAAACACTCCGTGTGCAATGGATGCGATCTTATAATGTATTCGTTTGGAAACCGGCAGCCAATAGTATATTAATATGTTTCAGGGCCATCCATAAATGACGTCACACGACTTTGACCGATTTTTTTACCCGCCCCCCCTCATCACACGGCGTCACAAAAAGTCAGACCCCCCCTCAATTATGACGTCACAAAGCTCTGCCCCCCCAACACCATATTTCCATTTTTAAAATAAAATATGCTTAAAATAACTTTAAACTATTGCCATTGTAGCGCGTATTTAATGTGGCGCTGCACCCTGATGTTGTAAGAGAAAACACGTTTTAAAAAGGAGGCGTTGGAAAGATGAAATTTAGCATAAAATTCACTTGAAAATATTCATATTCTTAGCTCTTTCGGTAAAATCACGTTGAAGGGAAACAATAAAATAATAAAATATATGTACAACAATAAAAATTCTCACGACAAAACAATAAAAATTCTCAGGACCAACACCTCGGCCGTGGCAGATCACTGTTATAATTCAGTAGGCTCACATGACATTGACTTTTCCTAGACAGAGGTTCTTTGTAAGCCATCTGGCTACCATGAGGCTATCCACATATACAAGCACAGAGACAATTTCAACCGAGGAGATGGATTCTGGCTTAGCAATCATTGGAAAGATTTGATAAACCATATCAGGTCTTAATTGATTGTTCACGCTTACGGTGGCTTTCAGACAGCATACATTATTTTTTTCGTCTCCCCCCTCCTCTTTTCAGAACATAGATGGACTAGTCCTTCTAAATAACCTGCCAAATCGCTGCGCGTGGCGTTGACGTTTTTTAGATAAATAAATAAATATACACGCCGTTTTAAAATAAATTAATGCGGAACCGACACACCTGATGACGACCATTTGTGTTATGGTCGAAACGTCGTGAGATTTTTTATTGTTTTATATATATTTTATTATTTTATTGTTTCCCTTCAACGTGACTTTACCGAAAGAGCTAAGAATATGAATTACTGCAGTCACGAAAGCTTTAAATAAAAATTGAAAATATTCGTCTAAATAAAACTGCAGATGCTCAGAATATTATATTGAAATTATCTTATAATTATAAAATATTGAAAGTAATTATAACTATAAAAAATATTTTAAACTTTGTATTAGAACGAAGCAAAATGGAGAGTACAATTATAACAATCACATATTCCTTCCACAGAATGAAAAGCCCTGGTAGAATCATTGGAATCAAAATGTTTAATAACAATCATTCAAAAAATGTTCAAAATGTATGCTTCTCCATTCTCCCATGGAGAAGCAAAATGCTCCTTCATGGAATAAAAAGGGAGCGCATGAATCTCTTCATCTTGTGGAATGGATATTCCGTTCAGATTAAGCTCTTCTTAGTCTATCCAATCTGCACTCCATTTTCTTCGTTCGCGATTACAAACATTAGTTCACGTTACCGACGTGCGACGACTCTCTGTGGCCTGATGCGTTTGGGCAGAATAATAATTGATTCCTGCTTGTGTGTTACAGAGCGGCTGCGCAGCATGACTAACGACGCGAAGCATGTGTCACATTTCTTGCAAACCTATCGTTAAGCACGGATTGTATTGACGGACAGTACAAGTCATATGGAATCGACCGATAAGAATTTGAAGGTGCGAGGAAGGATGTCATCCACTTTCAAACTTTGTGCTATGAGTATGTGGTGGGGCTACCGATGGCAGGGAGGCCGCGAATGTGAAGGTATTTGGTCCTGTGATTGAGGTGTCAATTAACGGACCTGTGGCGGACCAAAGATGCGAGTTAAAAAGGGGCTCCCCAAATGGAAATGCCCTCTCTTGCTTCCAAGACTGCAAAGCTGAATCTCGCAGAGTATGCGACGTGGCCGTGGTGGCGTCCAGCTGACACGCTGCACAGAGTGATTCTCATGAGCCACTGCTGGAGCAGAGTCCCCTTCCTCTGCTTCTCTCCTACGGTTGATGTAGATGCAGAGCAACAACTTTGACATTCAGTTGGTCAAGACAGACACAGCAGAGTGCATGGCTCTGAGGCCTCTTTCGTATTTGTGGATCTGGGGCATTGCATTGTTACGCGTTGTAGGGTCTGTTCTGGATGGCCACAGTCGCACCACGATTAAAGAGTTTTAATTTTCCATTTGTGCATCAGGTATCCGCATCTACTGCCATGGTGTGTGCAGTGGATGCGGTTTAAGGTGGACCATGAACTTCGTGGAAGATCAAACCCAGGGATATTCTGCTTTGAGTCTTTGACAAGGTGTTCGTTTGTGAGTTCTTTTGAACTCCATTCAGCTCTCCAAGCTCCATCGGGGATGCAATGGCATCGTTGATGGCTAAGCGCATGGGTCTAAAAGGGCTTGCGTGACACATCCATCTTCACATGTTCTGGAGACTGCAGTTTGTCTCGACTGTTAACCGCTGAACAGCTTTACCTTTGTGACTGCTGCTGCTGCTGAGGAACGATGTCCGGCTCTCCTGGGCAGCCAACAAGCGACATCGACACCAGCCGTGTGCGTCGTGTCACATGGGCTGTTGGGTGAGCGTCATTCCTTCAAGGGTCGAAGTTGCGCAATTTACTGCGGGAGTTTGCGCTTCAAGACGGAGTGATGTGTACCAAAGAGTGACACGACAGCCATCTCCTCCCTCGAACTGAGCTCTCGATCGCGAGGAGACCGGGCCGCAGATGCAACGGTGACATTTCTGATGGAGTCGACCCATCGGGGTTTCGCCTTGACCACTGCTCGCCGTATTCCCCGTCAGCCGAAGGGCGCGCCCCGCCGTTGGGAGAAGCAGCGAGCCCCGCGTCGAGGCGGAACTTTTACAGCCCGACCTTTGGAGGAGACGCCACTGGGGCACAGGCCGCCGGGAGAGTCCGAGAGACACCCTCCAGACCTCAGAGACATCCCGGGGAGCACATGGAGGGCACCTGTTGTCAGCGGTGAGTCCCCTGGCTGATCACCGTCTGGAGCTCATTGTTGGTGGCCACGGTGCCGGACAAACTACTGAGCCCTCTCGGCCTCTTGAGGACCGGACTAGGGCGCTACGGTGGCGCGATGTTGACTACCTCGCCTAGTATACAGGCCATGCTGTGCACGTGGAGTTTGCGTGTCTCTCTCGCCGTGGTCGCGTGGATTTTTCTCTGGGTGTTCCCGATTTTTCCCTCCACATTTAGAATCAACATCATGCGTTTAGAGTCTTTGGCTGCGACAAATGTCCACGTGACAAGCCACTTGGTTGAGCCATCGTTTGTGATAGCCAGGTCGCCTCTGAAGAAGAGCTACATAGCTCAGTGGGCCTTACCTGCTAAATACAAAGTTGGTTTAGTTTAGGGGCCGTCCATGAATTACGTCACGTAGTGTGACGAAGGGGGGAGGGGGGGTTTAGAATGTGACGTCACATCAAAATGCGCAACTTTAAATAAATATAAACACGTTCTACTTAATTAAATAGCATTGTTATAACAACACAAATTTTGATTAATTTTCATTATTAACCATTTGATTATTTAAATTTACTAAGGTCACCTTTTATTTATTCCATGAAGGAGCATTTTACAACGCCTCCTTTTTAATACGTGTTTTCTCCTACAACAGCAGAGTGCAGCGCCACGTTAAATACGCACTACAATGACAATAGTTTAAAGTTATTTGAAGAATGTTTTATTTTCAAAATGTAAATATGGTTTGGGGGGGGGGGCAGAGCTTTGTGACGTCATATTTGATGGGGGTCTGACTTTTTGTGACGAGGGGGGGTAAAAAATCTGCCAAAATAGTGTGACGTCACTTATGGATGGCCCTGAAACATTAATATACTATTGGCTGCCTTCATAGGTGCTCGCTAACAGCACTTGTCACAACAGTCTGTCAAGGCTATATGAGGGATATTTGTCTTTGTGGGCTACAAAAAGGAATTATTTTCGGTCCAAGGTGGACCAACCCTCAGAGTTCTGTCTCATCTTGGGGTTTTATTTAGTTTCCTGGGCTTCGCTCACAGCTCCTGGCGTTTCGTTTTAGTTTCTTGTGGTTTTATGTTGAGTTGATTGTCACTTTCCTCGCACCTCCGATTAGCACGGTTGGCTACGTACGGTGCGAAAGAAGTTCAACGTGCTTAAGTGTGTGGAGGCGGGCGTGGGTGTCAACCCGTCAGGATGGAACAAGCAAGTCCGTGCGCAGCCGTACAATCTGCGTGACCCGTACACTCCATGCCAGGGAGATTCACATCATGTTTTCTTCTCGTGTTCACCGGCTCGTTAGGTTTTTTTTTACAGTTTATTGAGAATTGCCCTGTGTTGTTTTCTTCGCTGCGCAAAGGGGTCTCGTCAATCAACGTAGTATTTGCACGTAGGCATTACCTCACTGCTAAATACTTTAACACGTAGGTCTATTTCATACCTGTCAACCCCTTATCAGTGCCTACTTTATTACACACCAATTCAGATATTATTGGTCACCCCGTGCCCTTATAAATCTCAACTTTAATCTCACAAAGTCCATTCACAAGGGATAAACACAAAAAAAATATACATTTACTTTGCCCGTATTGAAACGCCTGTACGCCGTATGGACCTGAAAACTCAATTTCCCTGTACCAAAACACTGTACAGGGTAGACAACCGTACGGGTTGACCGGTATGCTTTTTGACACACGATGGAAGTGCACGTAATCGTGAGTGAATATGGTTTCGTCGCAGCGACACACCGTCACACGCCCAGCGTTCTCGATACAATCATTGCTGAGCGGTCGTCCCCGTTGAATGCAGTGGGGGGTTTCTCCGTACGTTCTCATTGTCTCGCGCGTTCAAAAATAACTCATCCGTGAACCGGTCAAAACATCCCAATGCGGGACCCTCCTGAAGAAGTCTTAACACTGCAATGATACCAGTTCTAAATATTTATTATTCTGATTTTTTTTTTTTACCCAGGAAAGCCTCGCCGAGTCTCAAGATTCTCTTTTCAGGAGGGTTCTATGTTCTCTTTTCAGGATAAGGCGACGATTGCTGTTGAGTGTCGAGTGACGTGCGGGGCATTTTTCATGTTTGGCAAATTTGGACTGATTCAAAGTTGGACTCAGTGCCCCCCCCCCCCCCCCATCTTCAAATGTTACGGGATCTTAAACGTCTGCTGTGAAACAATCGGCGCGTGTTATTACAGTTATCATACATCCATCGGAATAAGCAGAGCAGCCTGCTGGATTCGAATCGTAACATGGTGGTGAGATGTTAATTACCTCGCCTGGTATGCAGGAGGTCGTGGGTTCGATCCCAATACGGACGCCTGTATATGTGGAGTTTGCGTGTCTCTCACCGTGGTCATGTGGATTTTTCTCCAGGTCCTCCGGTTTTTCCCTCCACATTTAGAAACGCGCGTTTAGAGTATTTGGTTGCGATACATTTCCACGTGATGATGATAAGCCACTTCGTTGAACTATCATTCGTGATAGCCACGTGGTCGCTTGTGAAAAAGAGCTCCTGCACAGCAGCTCAGTGGGTCTTACCTGGTAAAATAAGATGGTTTAGTTTTCAAGTTTACTTTTAACCTCTGCAACACGCGGGGAACCTGCTAGCGCTGAGCCGTGTCACCGCCCAAGCAGAATGTGGCCGCATGTTTTGAAGCTGCGAATGGCTCCCTATAGTCGTGTCTCTAAGCCCCGACTCTCCTTCACGCCGCGATTGTCTCACTTTGATTTCCCACGTTTTCGTGTTCACCGTTGGCTCTTTACTTCAACGGAGGGCACCAACTCTTGAGCGGTGAGTACGGAACCACACCACGCAACACTGTGAACGCAACACGATGCTTTATTTTTATATTTTATTTCATAGTCTTCAGGGTATAGTAAATGTATCAAAAATATGTTTTATGTATTTTATTAGTGTTTTTAAAGTTAGGTTTAGAAGGTTGCTCGAGAATGCATTACAAAGCTTTGCACTGTATTCGCGGCTAGCCAGACTTTTCAGCTCAGGGTACGAGGAGTGTGGCTGGCTGGGGTTCCAATGCGTGATGAAAGCCACCCACCGTTACCGACCCTGGGGAGGCCTTCATCCTGCATGGGATGGCAGAGGCCTATAAACTAGCATCACGGTACACGGAGCACAATGGGCACTGCCTCTCCACCCACTGTTCACACTCCACTGCACGGCTGCATTATGTATCATTGCGCCCGTTTACCCGAGAAAGCCTCACCGAGTCTCAATAAACTGTTTATTTTTTTTTTCTGGACGGTCCGGCCAAGTTTTAGCAGTAGGGGGCCATGTTGCTTTGTGCATCTCGATCGAGTAATTTGCAGGTAATGTTAATATTTCCATGTTTGGCAAATACCAGTTACCTCGTTATGTTCAGCCAGCCCTCACCTCATCTAACCTCATGACACCTCGTCGCACCTCTTCCAACCTCATCGGACGTCATCAAAACTCATCTCATCACACATGCTGCCCATCCTTTCATTCATTTTCGTTCACCCACAACACATGCACCTCAATGAAAAGCCTACGCTTCATAAGTTACGCTTGTCATGTTACTACCGATGGTCTGAAGTAAACCAACCAGTTACTCTTACACGCAATCCAAAACCTCACTTCTAAATGTAAAAAATTAAGTCAATCTGCATTGAAACGTCCATCAAATGCAAACTGAATCTGTTCGCATCGAGCAGAGGGCCGGCCGGCAGGCTTCTGCGACCAAGCCAAGTCCGTTTCACGGGGCAGCGCCCTTCTCCAGACAACCGTGCCCTGGGCAACCGTGCTTACACATCCAGAGCACAGCCATAGAGTAGCATGGTCCGCATGGGCCTTGTTGCAAGGAATGAAATGCGCTTCTCCCTCCTTGTCTTCTCCCCTCTTCGGAGCCTGGTGTAAGAGGGCCCCCCTCCGGCGCCTGGGGCCCCCTCTGGCGCCTGGGGCCTCAGTGCAGTTGCACCGCCTGCATGCTCGACAGCCTCGCCCACTGGTGCAGGGGCTGCTAAGAGAATGTTTTGAGTGTATCCCCACACAAAGGGGGTGGAGGGGGTTATCAATTACAGTCATGCTACCCGCGGGCGAATCGCTTGGAAACCCCCAGGGGGAAGTCTCTACAGGTCTTTACAGGTCTCCACTGAACGTGACTGACAGAGAGGATCTATGGCCCGGAGGCGTGAGATTGGCGCAGCCCTTTGTGTCCGCCGCCGGCTGAGATAAGCGTGCGTCTCCACCATTAGGGCACGGCGCGAAGAGAAACGCCTGCTGCTGCTGCTGCTGTTGCTGGGGTGATGAAGATGATGAAGATGATGAAGATGATGAAGGCGGCTGCTGGTTCATGAGGACTGGCGTCGCTGTTGCGTCGCCTCTGTCGTCTGGCATGTCGATGCGAACCACGGGTCCCGTGCAAGCCGCCCGAGACGGCGGCGGTGGAGGCGATGTCGTGCCGTAAGTGACCACAGCGAGAGGGTTCCGGAGCTCCGAGGGGCCCCCCCCGGTGTTGCCGCCGCCGCCGCCGCCGCCGTTGTTGCCGCACGTCGCGTAGGTAATGAGGTTGTCGGCGTCGGTGCCGGAGCTGCCCTCGGCCTGGTCGCTCAGCGTGCTCACCTCCATGTGCAGGCTCTTCACGCTGCTCGACCGCCTCCACCAGCTGTTCTGCCTGCTCCCACTGACGCGCACGCAAACGCGCGTTAGAGTCGGTAAGGCCCACCGAGCTATGTAGCTCTTTTTCAGAAGCGACCAGGCCACAAATGAAAGCTCAACGAAGCGGCGTACCACGTGCACATTTATCGCAGCCAAATATACTCTGCATGTTTATGACCATTTTTATTTCTGGTCAACGCTGCCGACACCACGCCTCGCCATCGCCTCCTTCCTTCTGCACTGTTTTTTTTTAATTAAGAAATTAGTTTTCAATTTAGATTTAAAAGTGCATAGCTCCAGTGGCTTCCTAATAAAAGTTGCGTACCCTATCCTGTCATGAAAGCTGAAGGGGGTTGGGGGGGTGTGGGGAAACAGGCCACCTGCAAAGAATTCGGAGATCTACAATCAGGCCACAAGAACCCCATGAATGCTGTTATTTTAATACGAAGAATGTAAACAATCCATAATACACGTTGTTTTTTGGGTTAGATCGTGTAAATATAAATGTGTCGTTAGACCCGCCACCGCCCGGTGTGCTGTACTAGTAACGGATTTGCATGTTCTGTTAATGTGACAAACCTTACTAACTGGCTGTGTCTGGTGGTGGCGGGCTTAACGGCACATGTATACAATTACGCGATCTAACCCAATAAAACCTGTATTATGCCGACTATAATCACCCAGGAATGTCTGTCCTGAACGCTCGTGACTTCACTCCACATTGACCAGCCCCCCTAATTAATATTCATGAGCAGGTGACGTCTTCAAAGTGGATACCGCCCCACCTCTCATTAATAATCATGAGCAAGTGACGTCACTCCACGTCGACCAGCCCCCCTCATTAATAATCATTAATAAACACAAGCGATGCGATCGAAACGTCGTCGTTTTTTGTTATTTTTCTTTGAACCTATCTCCGTGACTTTACCGAAAGACCCAAAGAATATGAATTCCTGCAGTCACGAAAGCTATAAGTTAAGAATCATGAACAGGTTACGTCCTCCACATGGACCCCTCCCCTCATTAATAATCATGAGCAGGTAACGTCACTTCACATCGAACAGCATCCCTCATTAATAATCAGGTGACGTCCTCCAAATGGACACCTCCCCCCCCCCCATTAATAATAATTGGCGGGTGACGTCACTCCACATGGGGGGGCGAGGCGCCTCCTCCCCCCTCCTCAGCGTCAACTTACAACCCTCACTACAGAACCTGCACGTCACGTGATCTCCGTAACGCTGTTGTTGAGACATAGAAGTAAAAATGACGTCATAATGAACAAGGGATTATTACCTTAAAATGGAATGTCTGTGTCACCGCGCCATTACAAATTGCACACGAATAGATGCAATGAATATCACGTCAAAGGTCTGTGCTTTTCGCTTGCAAGTTTCAGATTTACTGCAATACACCCGTCCTTGGACGGGCAAAAGGCTGCGGATGATATTGGTCGCGAAAGCCCACTCCGTGTTAAACCAATGCAGACAAGAATACTTTTAACGAATTCATGTCCCCGTCTGACACAACATCGACGCTCCTTAATCATCGCCAATTAACTCGTCACTCCCCGCCCACCTCCCCCCTGCCCTGGTAAATCTTGTGAGTTAAGTGACGCAGCCAACAGACCGTAAGGGAACAATGCCGTACAGTGTGAGGGAATCTGAGCGATGCAGAAACATGCTAGAAACAATTAGAGAGAAAACTTGGGTTATGAAATACATTTACACAGGAGTACAGTTTATCCCCGCAGCTAGGGTTGGGGGTAGTAAATCAAACCTTGATCTTGTGTTCATGATTTTGGAAATATTTTTGGTAACCCCTGCTATGTATGTAAAGGTGATGGTTTTGATTGGGTCCTCAGATGGTTCTTTCCCAACGGTTGGGGTGATAGCTTTATGGATTGTGTAGTCTGAATATCCATTCATCTTGAGGGCTTGGTGTACGTGCTCCAGTTCACTGGCTAGGTGGTGATGGTCATTGAAGATTTGGTCCAACAAGGACAGAATGCTGATGTACCTGCCCTGGTTAGACACTGCCTCACCAACACTTACTTCACTTGGAATGGAACATTCTACAAACAAGTTGAAGGTAGCCCAATGGGTTCTCCCTTATCTCCAGTTGTAGCCAATGTTTTCATGGAGACATTTGAGACAGATGCCATCCAGGCATCCACCCTACATCCTTCCTTGTGGAAGAGGATACGTAGATGACACGTTCGTCATCTGGCCACATGTCCTACCAGCGTTGAGCCAATTCTTCAACCACATTAATTCCATACACCTAGCCATCAAATTCACCATGGACGTGGAAAAGGATGGCAAGTTACCATTCTTGGATGTTTAAATCGAAAAGAGACCAGATGGCTCAATGGGACACTGTCTACAGTAAAGCCACCCATACGGATGCCTACCTAAAACCTGACTCCCACCACCATCCATCCCAGAAGAATTCCCATCAAAACTCTACACCAGGGGTCCCCGACCCCTGGGCCACGGATCGGTACCGGTCCGCGGCCTGTTAGGAACCGGGCCGTACAGCAGGAGGTGAGCGGTGGGCGAGCGAGCGAAGCTTCATCATCTGTATTGATAGATGAAGCTTCATCATCTGTATTGATAGATGAAGCTTCATCATCTGTATTGATAGATGAAGCTTCATCATCTGTATTGATAGACGAAGCTTCATCATCTGTATTGATAGATGAAGCTTCATCATCTGTATTGATAGATGAAGCTTCATCATCTGTATTGATAGATGAAGCTTCATCATCTGTATTGACAGCCGCTCCCCATCGCTCGCATTACCGTCTGAGCTAAGCCCCTGTAAGATCAGCGGCGGCATTAGATTCTCATAGGAGCGCGAACCCTACTGTCAACTGCGCATGCGAGGGATCTAGGTTGCGCGCTCCTTATGAGAAGTCAGAATCCGACACTCATTTTAGTCCGCCCATTAATTTATTTACCATTTCCGTCCGCGCCTCTTTCCCGCACTGCGTACTTGTCTCAGTCACAGTTTTGGTAAGCCCACAAGCTAACCCCTAGTAGCCACAATGAGTAAGCCCACAAGCTAACCCCTTGCCAGAATGGGTAAAAAGCAAACGTCTCTAGAAAGCTTCTTTGAAAAGGGGGAAAGACCCAATGATGAACCCCCCCCCCATCCGTGAAAAAATTGTCTTCCACGAAACCGGTCCCTGGTGCCAAAAAGGTTGGGGGACCGCTGCTCTACACCATAGAGCTCGTATTTCCAACCATCACCATCAATCTACGTGGCTTTACCGAAGGACCCATAGAATATATATGGGTAATATTTGTCTTTACATAAGGGGACAGGGAGGGGCAGAGGGAGGGAGTCTTTTCAGCTTTGGTGGCAATGACACCCAGCTCCTGCCCCCGTCTGCACCACCAGTGCTCAAAGCCCGAAGCTTCTTGACAGTTGCTTTGTAAATATTCACCTATCTGGGCCGCACAATAACACCGACATAACACCTGCCTCCAACACCTGCTGTTTAACACTCGAGTTCACCTCCCTACACTGTCTTTGAACCACAGCTATCGACAACAACAGGAGCTGCTTCGGGGCCCTCTTTGTACCCAGTGACGCGGGGCGGTGGCGGCTGAGCGAGCGGGCTACAGAGTCACGAGCCCTGCAAGTCCTGGACAACTGCCACCTGGATCCGTCGTCCTTCATGAGACAGCAAAACGGCGACCACTTTGTGGGCAGCCGGCAGTGGTCGTCTTACGGAGAGACTTAAGATCAGAAGCGACCTGGCCATAAATGATAGCTCAATGAAGCAGCTTATCGCGTGGAAATTTATCGCAGCCAAATACTCTAACCGCACCTCGATTCCAAATGTGGAGCGAGAAAAACCCGAGGACCCGGAGAGAAATCCACGCGACCACGGGGATAGAGAGACACGCAAACTCCAAATATACAGCAGCAGCAGGCGTCGTCAGGGTCGTGATCGAACCCACGACCTCCTGCATACCAGGCGAGGTAGTTAACATCTCCTAGCCACCGTGATGATGATGATGAGAGAGAGAGACACGCAAACTCCAAATATACAGCAGCAGGCGTCGTCAGGGTCGGGATCGAACCCACGACCCCCTGTATACCAGGCGAGGTAGTTAACATCTCCTAGCCACCGTGATGATGATGATAGAGAGACACACAAACTCCAAATATACAGCAGCAGGCATCGTCAGGGTCGGGATCGAACCCACGACCTCCTGAATACCAGGCGAGGTAGTTAACATCTCCTAGCCACCGTGATGATGATGATAGAGAGACACACAAACTCCAAATATACAGCAGCAGGCATCGTCAGGGTCGGGATCGAACCCACGACCTCCTGAATACCAGGCGAGGTAGTTAACATCTCCTAGCCACCGTGATGATGATGATGATGATGATAGAGAGACACGCAAACTCCAAATATACAGCAGCAGGCATCGTCAGGGTCGGGATCAAACCCACGACCTCCTGCATACCAGGCGAGGTAGTTAACATCTCGGCACCGTGGAGCCCAATGCGGGCCTGCACACGCTGTGTGCTGATCATGGGGGTTATCTAACCATACTTCACTGCACACAAGCTCATCCACACAAACACGCACACACCTGCGCGTGCCGAGATGGAAGAGCAGCGACGAGATGATGAAGAGGAGGCAGATGAGCAGTGTGAGTCCACACCAAAACCCGATGACGATGGAATCTGGACAATATGAAGCGTCACAGGGTCAGCCATTAAAGAGGAATTAAGTTTGTATTTCATGATCATCATCATCATCGTTATTTATAAACATGTGAGACCCCATTGAGACCGCAGGTACATATTTCAAGTTCATCATCAGCCATGTACAAACCACTGCTGGATGGCGACACGACAATGTAATAAAAAGAAAGCTATATATATATTCTTGGTTCTTTCGGTAAAGTCACGTAGAAGGGAAACAATAAAATAATAAAAATATAAAACATTTTATTGCTTCCCTTCTACGTGACTTTACCGAAAGAACCAAGAATATGAATCCCTGCAGTCACGAAAGCTTTAAATAAATAAATACAGCTGTTTTGTCAATCCACTGCTAGATGAGGGTCTCCCCACACAGTGCAGATCGTGGGGGTTATTTGACCATATTTCACCATGGTCAGTGCAGGCCGGTAAAGGCAAGGGGAGGAGCACAGTGCTAGAAGTAGAAAGCAACAAATGTATTTTTATGCACTGCCCTCCGCCGCCCCCGCCACGTAGCCCAGCAGCAGCACGGCAGTCACCCATCCAAACGCGATTTAGGCTCAACCCCGCTGAGCTTTGGAGAACGGCGCACTCCAGGCTACTTGGTCAAGTTCTCCTAGATCAACTCGCCCTCAAGTGAGCACCCGGTCCAGCCCGCAAGACACCGTGGAGGCACCGCTGCCTCGTGCACCGTGCCAGGCCGCGCTCGGCTGTGCCAGGGCGCCTGCTTTGACGGGCCGAGAGGGGCCAGTGTCCAAGTCGATTTCCTTTGACTCGAGGCGAGAGCTCGAGAGACCGGGGCGAGAGTCTTGTCGGCGAGGGCGGCGCGGGTCACCGACACGACAAAAGCAATCGCGAAAAAACCAAAAAGTAGAGCAGCCGAGCAAAGCCAAAGAAAAACACAACACAACCGGTCTTGCAGAACTGAAGATCCCACACGGACGTAAAACGGATTCAACGTCTTGGCACGACGGCGGAAGCGCTGTCGCCCGGGAGCGGCAGCTTCGCCAATACTGCAGGTGATGGAGTGCATCGCCGCTCCTTTGCCAAATATCTTGCCGAATGAAAATGTTGACCATGGGTCGGATATGGCTCGTCAACGAGCAAGCCCCGTGCCGTGTGGGTGCGTGCGCTTTGCGGCGAGCGGGTGGAAGGGATGGGACGAGTGCGGGTGGTGCTCGCGTGCCGTACATTTGTTCACCGTGAGGTCTTCGAAGGAAATCTCATCGTATTCGTAGTAGTACTCGTACTCCAGAGATTCGTCCTGGTGCGAGTAGCTGGCGTTGGGAAGCGCGTTTCCTGGCATAGCTGTCCCCACTCTGAGGGAGCTGCGCGCACACACACACAAAGACAAAGATCCCCCATGTAGCCTTAACAGACTGTTGCGGCAAGTGCTGTTAACGAGCACCTTTGAAGGCCGGCATGGCACACGAGGGGGTGGGTGGCCAGCACCACGCCGGGCCGCCTTTGTCTCCCCTGTGAGTGATGTTTACACACCGCACCAGTTACACGTTTGAGGCTGAGTCGACCTAGGGGAGGCCCAGGACCGGTTCAAATAATCGTCACCGGTGGTGGCCGTGAGCGGGAATCGAACTCGAGTCGCCGGGTTCGTAGCGCGGCGCGCTAACCATATAGGTACACATACACGCGCTTGCTGCAGACACACAACTTTCAGGGTGCGTACGGCAGTAAACGACTGAAATAATAAAGCAATGCTGCGCGAAGAACGCCTTAGACCTGCAACACATTTGTATTTCACTTTACCCGCGATCAGCAGGCACACTCCGTTACGCTTCCACATGCGCGGGTCACATGACAGATGTGACGTCACAGCTCACTTGCTGTGCAAACAATAAATGCATTATTGAGCTCTCCCCCCCCCCACCACAAAAAAAGTGTATCTTTATAATTTTTGCATGGTGTACAGTCTGGAAAGTACCCACATGGCAAATTTCCAGTTGCATGTCGGGAAGTACGCTAAACATTCTGAACAGACACACACATTCACAAATTTGCCTTTAATATATATGGCGATAACGCGTGAGCGCAAATGCTATTTCGCGAGCACCTGCGGCGGTCGGCATATCACGTGAGGGCGTGGCGTGGCCAGAGAGCATCGTAACACGCGCGCATACAAAGCAGGTACGCTTACACAAGAATGGACAGGCAAACACAGACGCAAAATATGTACGTATGCCCGACGCATCGCGGGCGATCTTATTTTTAGTCAACTGGAATGGCGTAAGCGGCGAAGGGTGCAACGCTATTATAGCCCCGTGGCGGCCGTGGGGCTTGCTTGACCTCGCTTCACCACGCCAGTCAGCGCGCGTGGGGGTTGGCGAACCGGTAGAGACGTCGCTCACCACTGGCGTGGTTCGAGGCGCCGGTGCGTTGTCCTGCTGCCTTTAACGGCCTTTAAATTGCAACCGTTCCAGAACCTTGCTCGTGTCGTCTTAGGGGTCCGCCGTCTACGACTCGACCCAGCCACCGCTCCTCCGTACTCTTCATTGGCTCCTTTCCGCCAGCAGGACAAATTATGAAGCTGCGCCTGCCTTTGTCATCACGCCTTCACCACCGGTTCACCAGCACAATACCTTGCCTCACTCATACCTGTCAACCCCTCATCAGTGCCCTACCTTATTACAGACCAATTCAGACCTTATTGGTCACCCTGTGCCCTTATAGATCTCAACGTTCATCCTACAAAGTCCCATCACAAAGGAGAAACACAAACAAATAGACAATAAACAGTGCCCGTATTGAAACGGCTGTACGCCCTATGAACCTGAAAACTCAATTTCCTTGCGAGTATATGGATAAACCATATGGGTTGACGGGTATGCTCACCACTCTCGCCCCGCATCGAACACTCACAGTAGAATCCTCACCACTCTCGCCCCGCATCGAACACTCACAGTAGAATCCTACGCAGCAGCGTCACTCAAAATCTGCTTCAAAAACTAAAGGTCTCGCAACTGTTACAGCCTCACGTCGGTATACACTAAATTTCCATACACTACACTATACATTACACTACTATACACTTCACTATACACTACTATATACTACACTACTATACACTACTACATACTACACTACTATAAACTACACTACTATACACTACTACACGACTTTACACTACACTATACACTACACCAAACACTACTATACACTCACTACATTATACTGTTACAGCCTCACGTCGGTATACACTAAATTTCCATACACTACACTATACATTACACTACTATACACTTCACTATAAACTACTATACACTACACTACTATACACTACTACATACTACACTACTATACACTACTATAAAGTAAACTATTATACACTACTACACGACTTTACACTACACTATACACTACACCAACCACTACTATACACTCACTACACTATACTGTTACAGTCTCACGTCGGTTCTCTGCTTTCACCCCCTCGGTGTGGAACTCTATCCTGATTGCACATCAAGAAACATCTAAAGGTCTCCTCTATCTGTCTGGGTCAGGCTCTCGAGCAGCCCTGAGCTTGGCTCCGCGCCTCCGAGTTGTTGACTTGTCTGCAGAATCTGGGGCGTTGTGAATGTCATCATCATCATCGTTATCATTTAAGTGGTAAAACGTCTAATCTGCCCAATCCATCCCACACGAGTATATATCGGTGCGTAGCCACGCGTGTTCTCCCCGAGTACGCGTTCGTTTACTCTGGGCAGCCCTCCCACGTGTGGCAAAAACAGCCATTCGATGGAATCGGCCAAAGATCCTCACCCCGGCGCAGGACCCTCGTGAAAAGGTGCCCTGGGGCTCATAGGGGTCCATTCCCCTTTGGGGGCTTTTGACGATTTGACCGGCGTGCTGATCTGCCGCGACTGCCGCGATTGGCTGTCGCGGCCAACTCGTGGGGCTGGCAGGGGCTCGCGAGAGCCCTAGGATAAGAATCGCGGCGACGCTCGTAACTGCATCTCATCACGGCCGCAGTTCAAGAGGCCGTATGAAGCTTTGCTAGAAGCTACTACGATTAACAAAAGGTATTTGTGTAAAAAAAAACTTAAAGATTAATTCTATATTAATAAATAAACCGATAAAAAAACAGGATAATTAATACAACCAACGTATAAAACACTTGGATTATACTCTTTGGTTCTTTCGGTAAAGTCACGTAGGTATAAAATAAAATAAATAAATTCACTTTTTAATTTTCTATCTACGTGACTTTACAGAAAAAAACAAAGAGTATGGATCCCTGCAGTCACGAAAACTTCAAATCTACACTTGGATTACATTGCTAAACAAAACGAAATATTTGTATTACAAAGACCTCTCAAGAAGCATTCACTCACCCGCACCGCTCCACTCTGATATTCCCTCCGATCGTCTCTTCCCGCCCCCCCCCCCAAACTCTTATAACAATAACAACAATTTACCTTGCTCAATTCGAGAGGTACACTCTGCACTCTTCCTGCCTATCACAACTCCGACACAAGCGCCGCTTCGTCGCTTGCCCTTTGACGTGCTGAGCCTGTGGGCGCCACTTGCTCAGCAACCGCATTTGAAAATAATAATAACGACCGAGGCGAATGGATGCGTGACACCAGGCCCCTGGGTTACGGGAGGGGGGTGGTGTGCACGCGGTTGCCAGGGCGCCGCGTCTGTTGCTCATAACTCTCTTCGCAGGAGGAGGACTCTGGCGACCCTGCAGTGGAACAGTGACCCCGAGGCTCACAGAGGCCGCGTGCGAGCAACAAGAGAGCGAGAAAGCGACAGGACAGGGCACGCCTACAACACGCTGTGGGCTCGCACGCACTAACGAACACCAAGCAATAAGTAGTGGTAACAATATCCGACCGCGTCCGTGCAGTGCTCGCCGAGACCCATTGGCTTACGGCTGCCGAACGAATACATTGTAAGGTGGCGCTCATTGCACGCAAAGTGCTGACCAACAACTGAACCACAATGCCTCGCTCATCTCAAGGAGCATAAACCATCATCACGCCAACTCCGGCGGTCATCCTCGCAGCGGCGGCGGCTTTGGCTCGTCACAGAACAAAGACGGTCACCGCTTCACGCGCTTTCAGATGCGCTTTGCAGCCGTCTGGAACGTTCTTCCTTCCGATATTAGGAAGCCACTGGAACTATGCACTGTTAAATCATCATCTAGATTGAAAACACATTTCTTTAGAACTGCTTTTTGTGTTTAGTTTGTTGTCCTCTCCCCGCACCTCCCATTAGCACGATTGGCTATGTACGGTACGAAAGAAGTTCAACATACATACAATAATATACATTTATCAAGTGACGCCTTTTTTTTCCGTAGCTCCCAACATGAAAATCATGAAATAAACACAACCCGCAGGGTAAACGGCCAGAACATGGAGGTAAAAGGCCAGTTTAAAGACCGACTAAAACCTTAAATCGGACGACTCTGACTGCCTTCCAAGCAATGGCACAAAGTGTAGTTACAAAGCTTGCGAGCGATACAGTGGCAAACTCGCAATCACCCCTGCAGGAACAGAGCCTCGTCCTTGGAGTCCTTAGAAGAGAAGGCGATCCAAAGATCTCAGGAACCACGTTGGAGAGTAAACGCGGACCGGTTCCTGTAAATGTTGCAGGGCTAACCCCTAAGTGCATCTCGGCTCAAATGAGCATTGAGGTATCGATGCTCATCTCCCGGTTATAGCCCTGCAGAGTGGGGGAATGTCCACACTCCTAAGGACGGGGGGTGGGTTCAATCCACAGGACAAGTAGGTTCATGTCTCAATGTAACTAGGGTTAACTCTCAATGTAACTCGAGGGTCAACTCTCCATTTAACTCAAGGGTCAACTCTACATTTAACTCAAGGGTCAACTCTACATTTAACTCGAGGGTCAACTCTCCATTTAACTTAACGGTCAACTCTACATTTAATGAGGGCCAACTCTCTGGGGCTCCTGTGAGGGAGGGCCACAGCCTGGATTAAGCAACAACAAGAACAACATGCATTAGGTAAAACAAGTCAGGCTATAAAACGTGTTTCTTGCCAGACGCGCGTAGCCTTGGAGTGAAAAACATCGTGTGGCTTTGTTTTCTCTTAAAACTAATCGGACTACTTGCGGTCCCGTAGAACCTGAGGGAGGCTGACCCTCGGCGGGAGGGGAGCAACTACGGGCGGTTAGTCCGCAACTCGGATACTTGAGGTGGGGAGAAAACCATCGCAGTATTTGGAGGAAATGCGCCTCGTACGAGCAGAAAACAGTGAAACGTCCGCACGGACGGGTACTTGAACCCACCTGCTGTGCTTGCCAACTCACGGCTCAGTGGGTTTTGGGAGTATCCCACGTCGGC